GTGCCGAAAATTCGTAAGAACCTAGTGTCCAATTCGCTTTTGAATGAGCATGGCTTTCGCATTATATTTGAGTCAGACAAAGTTATTTTGTCAAAAAATGGAATGTTTGTCGGAAAATGATATGTTTCCGACAGTATATTCAAGCTCAATGTAATGGTTGTTAAACCAAAAATGAATAAATCAATCTCTTCTGCTTATTTGCTTGAGTCTTCCAATTTGTAGCATGGTAGACTAGAACATGTTAACTATGATACTTTACGAAGACTAGTTAACTTGAATTGCATACCTGAGTTCCACATTGATTCAAAACATAAGTTTGAAACTTGTGTTGAGACAAAATTGACAAGGACATCGTTTAAATCAATTGAACGGAACACAGAACCACTTGATTTAATTCACAGTGACGTATGTGACTTAAAACTTGTACAATAAGAGGTGGTAACAAGTATTTTATTACTTTTGTCGACGATAACACCAAATACTATTATGTGTATTTGCTAAAAAGTAAAGATGAAGTTATAGAAAAATTTGTCCTCTATAAGAATGAAGTTAAAACTCAACTTAATAAGAAAATTAAGGTGTTAAGAAGCGATCGAGGTGGCGAGTATGAATCACCATTTGCGAAATTCTGTGCACAACACGGAATCATAAATGAAACCACCGCACCTTATTCACCACAACAAAACGATGTTGCTGAACGAAAAAATCGTACTTTAAAGGAAATGATGAATGCAACGCTAGTAAGCTCTAAGTTACCTCAGAATATGTGGGGGGAAACTGTGTTATCAGGAAATTACCTTTTAAATAAGGTGCCCCCGAAAGAAAATAGAAAAAACCCCTTATGAATTATGAAAAGGAAGAAAGTCTTCCTATAAATACTTATGAGTGTGGGGGTGTCTTGCTAAAGTGGTCGTTCCAACGCCAAAAAAGGTAAGGATATGGCCAAATATGGTAAATTGCATCTTCAGTGGCTATACACACAATAATAGTGCTTATCGGTTTCTTGTGTATGATTCTAAAATTCTAGACATACACAAAAACACGATATTGGAATCAAGAAATGCTTCATTCTTTGAATATGTATTTCGAGCATTAAAACATATGAAAAATCTCACCAGGAAAACACACGAAATTCTCTCTGCACGAAAATTCCCAGATTCTGTCGTCCTCTTCTTTCTGTCCAGTGAAGTCGTCGTGGTGGTAATACTGTTCAGACGCTAAATCGGTTCGTCATAGTAGTTTCTGTAGTGCTCAGATTCTGCTGGTTTTGCCGTTGTACCCTGGGAAACAAATGCTCGGACTAGACCTTAAGCATTTACGGTGAAGGGGCGAATCTGTTTTAAGGAAACTTTGTTCGCACAGGCCTCAGGTTGAAAATTTATCTGCTATTTATTTAGTTTTTATTTTATTCTTGTAGATTTATTTATTTAGCTCTTTACACATCTCATATATTGTTTGTTAAATTTATGTTAGAAATAGATTTCTAAAAGGAAAAAAATACACGTTTTTTTATTCAATTCGTTATATGTGTAAAAAATAGATTTCATATATACGGTATTTCTATTTGTAAGTGAAATTTTTTTTGTTATTTTAGTTAGTATATGAATAAAAACACTTTATGCAAATTTTGTACAAATACAGTGAGCTTTGCCTACAAATACAGTGAACTACCATATTCAATGAGCTTTCTACAAATACGACAGATAGCATATACGGTAAGGTGCAAATACGGTGAGCTGCCTGACTTATACGGTAAGCTGCCATATACGGTTAATTAAACTGCCAAATACGGTAAGCAATTGCCAAATACAGTAAGTGTGAATCTGGTGTCTAAATCACATATACGGTATATGAGAACCCGATTCCACTCCATACACTACCAATTAAATTTACCAACATATACATCACTTTCATGGCCATAAAATTTATGCAACACTTCAGGTGCGACATAGTAGGGACTTCCAACTACATCAGAAAGATATTGTCCTGGCGAGGAACATTATCATCAAATTCTCCATCAGATTATCTCCCTAATTCTTGTGTACAAGTAAATTCCATAACCATGCATTTAACCAATATAGTTGAACTGAGAAGTGAATAAAATTGATCACACAGAATCCAATAACATACCAGGTTTGAAGAAAACCGATAACCCAAAATCTGTAGCCTTAAGCTTCGAATCCTCTTCAGGAGTATCGAAAAGGAAATTTTCCGACTTGAGATCCCTATGCATTACACCAGGAGAATGACAAGCCTCGACCAACCCAGCAATGGTTTTCATAAGCTTGCCGCCTCTTTCTCTCTGTAATGCCCCTTCTGAACAATCCTATCGAAAAGCTCGCCACCTGCACATAATTCCGTAACCAAATGAACAAACACATTGTCTTCACAAGTCCCTTTGATCCTCACAACATGAGGATATTCTGACAAATGGTGCATTATTTGAATTTCCCTCCAACCATCGTTGTAATCCTCCCTGCATAAAAGCTTGCGTTTTGGGATCGATTTGCATGCATATTCAATGCCCGTGGCCTTCTCTGTGCAATGATAAGTCGTCTCAAACTGGCCTTGGCCTAATTTTCTCCCCAAATTGTAATGATCTCGAAGTCTCGGAGTTTGATAAGGAAGAACTGATGATGCAATTTTTGAGGATGATCCTGAAGAATGTTTCTTCATGAGTGTTGTTAGAAGGGATCTCTCTCTCTCTCTCAGCTCTTTGTTCTCTCTCTATCTACAAGTTCATTTTTTTTTCCTTCTAGATTTGAAGTTTGAGAAAAAAAATCTCTGTTCTGTTGTTGTTTGTCCATGAATTGGTAAGAAGTAACTAACAATTGATTCATTGGTGGAGCTTGACCAAGTGCATTTTGCTTATGCTTGTGGTAATTTCTCATCATTATATTGAATAAATTCACCACCATTAGATTTAGTGGAATATTTTTACACATGGGGTGGAAACACATCGGGGTGTAAACGGGAGGGTCTATCAAGAATTTTCGAGATAAGATAAAAATTAAAGAATTTTGTTGCGTGTACACTCGGATCGCCCCTAAAAAATTTTGAGGCTCTAGACAATTAATTATTATGAGACCCTTGAATATAATTTTTACAAAATTAGAAATATTCAAACTTACATATAAAGCCGTAGCTATTCTTGTTCAAGAGGCGCTTCTGTACAGTGATTTAGTCCTGGACATCGAACAATAACCTTACTACATTACATGATAATGAATTAGAAACAGCCAATTCCATGATGTTGGATATTTGACAAAGCAGTTAATGACTATGTAATCACTACTTTGTGGATTTAATATATGAATAGTGTGGAGATTCATAATGGTTCTTCTTCAATTTTTCTTACACGTCGATTTTGTAAACAAAAGCAAATCCAAGTAAACCAACACAAATCCATGCTCTAAATCAACTATGAATTTCATTTTTCACGAGCATTTTCCAGCATTTCAAGTTACAACCTTCTCAAAATTTCAATAAGACCAACTAGTAATGCGTAAAAAATAGCTATAACACCTGGCCTCGTACAATCAGAGCATTTTTTTCAAAAAGTTACTTCGCCTTCCTCAAATAATTGGCTAGTCCTCATAATGAATGTAGGCCACATATTTCTACAGCTACTCGTTACCATGTACCCAAAATTTGAAATTCTTTCCTGGATTTTGCTCAAAATGATTACAATATTCTTGAAGTTCTATTCAATCGTCCCATTTCTTTTAGCAAATCACTCAAGATTATCAACTCCAACTATTTCAAAGGGAATTTTTTTTTCTTAAAAGAACCAATATACAATAGTGCATAAATAGTTAAATGAAAAGACAATAAAAACAAAAAAAATATAAAATACAACAATGTAATGCAAAAACCCTACATTTTATAACACCAAATTAACATAACATTCAGAAATCAATGAAAATTATTCGGGTATCTACCATTATAAATTAATTTCTTCATGTCACATAATAAATACGAGTAGTCAGAAACATAAAATCAAATAAGAAACCAGAAAGAAAGTTTGCATAAAGATTTTACCTATTTTTCTTTCATTTTCTTCTCAGATTTTCAATTTCTTACCATGAGCAAACAAATAGTGTTGGACATTGGGTTTTGCTTGTTTGTGAGGCACAAGCTGATGGAAAGAAAGAGAGAGAGAAGGAAGCATATGCAGCTGGCCATTGGAAAGTCCTTGCTCCCACCGATTATTTATAATTTCTTCTACTAGTCTGCTTCAGTTGTGAACACTAGCTTGTGATTTTGCTGTCGTTCAGCGTATCTGTCCTAAACCATCTTTTCTAGCCGGTAAACACATGCTATTTTGAGTAATTGGGCGGGTTTCAGATGGGTCTTCAGTTGGATTTTGGGCCAAATATTTTTTTAATATGAAACCCTCCTAAATTATGAGGCCCTAAACGGTTGCCTAGTTGGCCTTAGTCCAGAACCGGGCCTATGTACACTTTCCGTGGACACACGTTGACACGCCTCTCACATGGAGGATGCCCACATATCCCTTTCATGTGAGGTGGCATAAAGCATTGTATACGCTGGAGGTATACACGTAGCATAATCCAAAATTAAAATATCCTTATTTATTATTTCGTGTAGTTATTTATTTGTTTTAATTATTAAATACAAATTTAATTTAAATATGTATTTGTATTAAATAAGATAAAAAGATTCGAATTGGAGAAACTCAAGATAATTTATTTATTTTTTAGATGATATATTATATTCAATAAATTTTGACAACTCGAAATTGTGGTGAATTGTCAACATTTAAGCAATGGGAATATGGGATGGCAAAAGGGAGAGTCAAATCGGGATGGTAGATGCGGGGTGAAGCAGGGTATTTTATCATCCTTATTTTGCATATTCATTTTCAAAATATTACTTGGTTTTTTCCATATATACACACACATATATTTATTTATTTATTAAATTTCTAATAACAGAATGAAATTCAATTATAAGTGCTTTTAGTTCAACTAATAGTGTTTGAGAGAAGGCTGTTTTTCTTTAAAAAAACAATAGTTTTGCAATGAAACTACAGTTTCTGAATATCCAAATATTATACAAATGATGTTTAACCTTTCATCATACATACTCATACACAGTGCAAAGCAACATGGTTCAGAAAGGGAAGGGTAGTAATATCCGTAAAGCAATAATCTCTCACACTTGAGCCTTCCCGGGTCCAGAATGCAGCTGGAGAGTTTGGCTGGGTACGACCTGAAGCACACCGGGTTGTTCTGCCAGAATATTCATTAATAGTGATTCATAAGCACCAAAAACTGCAAGATATTCCTAGGAAGAAATCATAGCAAGTTTGTACGACGAACTCTATGCATAAAGAGCTAAACTCAAAGCACGTTAATCACCTCTGGCAAAATATGTTTCGACAACTCGATTAAACTTCGTGAGCTTCATAAAGAATGATCTTATAAGTCCATATGCAAGGTACTTATTTAAAACAGAAAATACAATCTCCTTAACGTAGACTCATTTCTTTAATGTTGCTATAGACTGGCATCTGTTGAAATATTTAATAACGGGATTTAGCATTTTGAGATAGATAAATATGCTACACGTCACAGGGTGGAGTGGGGATGCTAAAGCCACACACAACCAATGTCTAAAAAGACATAATTGCTAAGGTGTTTTTTCTTCACAAGGCGCCTGTAAGGTCTCACTGTAAACCAATATATATATATATATAAACATACATACAAGCACATTATAAATCAGAAATAATTTCAAAATTTATGATAGAACAACGTAAAGTGTACAAATAAATAAAAGAAAACTATAACTATCAAAATAGAAACCATTACTTTAGTTGGTGGGACGGTGGACTATCCCCAGACTGAGTATATGAGAAATACAAGGGGAAAACAATACCTCTAGATGTTCATTATGAGCAACTTTTTTGAGGTAGGCGATCCACTAAGGCCCCACTTTGATGAGGGCCCCAAATTATATAAGGTTAATTGGTTTGTTGAAGAAAAACGAAAATTATATTTATAAAATTCTTTAAAATAGAATTATCACATGAAAACACAATAAACTAATAAAAATTAAAAATACAAAAATCTTTTAAAAAACATATAAATAACATAAAACTTATCATCTACATTTATTTATTACATATATATATCGCAAACAATTCTTTCTCTATAACTAATTTGACACTTTATTTTCCAAACATTCTTTTCTTTACTTAACCAAGCAAAAGGTCTCTTTGTCTCTTCAAATTCCACTCATCCATCATAATTTTTTTCAACCTAACAAGAAATAAAGAGTAACGCTATTTACAGTAGCTTACTGACATAGTCGCCCTATATGACATACATATGGTGGATGGTGACTCGATGTATTAATGTAGTAATTTTTTATTACCTTATGCATCAAATCACTAACCTCCACATGCATGTCACGTAGGACAATTGCAGTAGTGAGCGACTGTAAATAGCATTATTCAAAAATAGATTATTTCCATTTGAATTAAAATTTTGAATATTTAGAGCCAATTTGATGCAGTTTTTGGCAAAAATGTATTTTGAAATAATGATTTGATGAAGAATATGTGGTTAAAAAAAGAAAAATATTGGGTTTGCATATAATATTATTTTATTAAAGAATATGTGATTTAAAAGAATAAACGAAAAAATGTATTTTGAAAAAAATGAGAACCAAGCGAAGCTTCAATTTAACAGATTGGTATGATCTCTCTGCCATTGTTATAGCCTTACATGTTTATTTCTTTCTTCCTTATCTTCAAAACATATACTACAGAGTATATAGACTGTTATTATTATTGTTTTGCTTTAATCTCATGATAATAGTCTTTTTCGATGTTTGTTGAAAGTACTTAGAATATAATAATTTTTCGTTCGTATGCATACTTCTTATTTGTATGTTAACTTCTTATGAATTAATATAAAATTAAAGTGTGTTTGATCGTCATTTTCATTATTTTGTTACATTATCTCTTGCAATCAACATTATCTGATTTTGTACATAAATAACTCAAATGTATATTCAATTTTATTTGAAATAGTTACAATAAGAAGATGATCAATGAAATAGACAGACCTATTTACCATTGCATTGTAATTTTGTTTGTAGAAACTTCACCTATAATTTGTATTGCATGTTGAGATTTGACATTTCGTATTTTTCTCTTCAAATTTTGGGACTCAGTTTTCTGTATTAGATTTTTCATAATTTTCTAGACTTATTTACTATGGCTCAAGTGTGCCCCCACAAAACACTAAAATTCTAATTGAACAACTTTGGAAATAGCCCCCTCGCCGCCCATTAAGGCGGCTTCAATTGGGATTTTAAAACCATGCAAATAACATAATTTTCAAGAATTATTTAGCTCGTGTTCGTTGCAAAATAAAATCCCAATTTTAATCAAATTCAACAATTAATTTTAACCACACATTTTATGGGAGACACAACTTTTCACCGATACATTTTATCGATTTTTATCAAAATATACTAAAAATCTGATTTTTAATTCCCACCAAACAGTGACTTAACATGCTTCAACTGTGCCCCCACAAAATCTGGAAAATTGATATTTTCCAGACTTATTTACCATGGCTCAAGTGTGCCCCCACAAAACACTAAAATTCTGATTGACTGACTTTGGAAATAGCCCCCAGCTGCCCATTAAGGCAGCTTCAATTGGGAATTTAAAACCATGCAAATAACATAATTTTCAAGAATTATTTAGCTCATGTTCAATAACTAATTTTAACCACACATTTTATGGAAGACACAACTTTCCACCCACACATTGTATCAACTTTTATCAAAATATATTAAAAATCGAGTCATGCTACACTTACAAAGCTAGTTTACAAAGTTGGGTTACAAAATAACATCCACACCAATCATTTTAAAAACAATTTTTTAAATTATTTCAAATCAGTGGCCTACATTTTGCCAACATACTTGGTATCTTCACTTTTGTAAAGTTACTTTGTAAGAGTAGCTTTATTCTTAAAAATATGATTTTTAATTCCCACCAAAAAGTGGGCTTAACATGCTTCAAGTGTGCCCTATGAAACATTAAACTTCTGATGACCTAATTTGGGAATAGGCAAAGAAGATACAAGGTTTTAGGCTTGAAGAATCGGAAATGCTATCATAGGAAGCAACCAAAAATAAGACCAAGTTAAAATACAACTCCTTGAATGCCAAAAGATTCTACCAAAAGGTCACCAAGATCTCTTTACAAACCACAATCTTAAGATTGTGATACAAGTAAACAACATATGCAGTTGTGTATGAAAATATGCTCTTTTTCAACATCCATGTGCAATGTCAATTTATGGAACCAAGAAACAATTCCATCTCTGCCCTTTTTACTCCCCCAAACAGAAAACTACAGCTAACTACGTCCCATAAATCTTGCCCTTGGAGACCATGTGGTGTATTTTTTATTGTTGAGCTTCTTAATTTCACCTACGACTTGTAGGTTGCCCACAGTGACTTGGATAACCCCGTCATTACCAATCAAGCTTTTTTGAAGCTTCACAGTCTCGATATCATCACAATCTCTAGAAGCTCAAAAAAACCTTCCCTCAACTGCCTTGCTCTAATACCAAATTGTAAAGTTTAGCACAAAGAAATTCTCTTTTATTGACAACCCACTTTTGTGTGTGTGTGTGTGTAAAATATATTTTATATAACACCACACACTTATATTTTATTTATAAAATTGGACTATCCTCACCCAATGAGTACTCTACTGCTACTAGCATTCACTTATCTCCCCAATCCACTCTCAATTCTCTCATGCATATAATGAGTACTAACCTTGTATATATAGTATTTAACGTCGGTGACATAAGCGACTTTTCCTTCTAGAGAAATCAAAATAGCAATATATATATATATATATAGTACTCTACCGCTACTAGCATTCACTTACCTCCCCAATCCATTCTCAATTCTCTCATGCATATAATGAGTACTAACCTTGTATAAATAGTGTTCTAACGTCTGTGACATAAGCGACTTTGGCTTCTAGAGAAATCAAAATAGCAATATATATATATATTACCTACTTGGAATGCTCCAGATTCTATTTGGCTTCAACGAGAAAAATCTAGAAATAATCAAACTTACAAAACAAGAAATATAAATGGAGGAAGATCCAGAAGGTTCAAAACTTCCATGTCGGCGCTGTATTACATTTCATTTTGAAATACTACTCAAAACACGAAGGTCATAACATTAAAGTCTGATTCATCAAAATTATGCAGCATCGAAACCAAAAAGAGATCAAAACTCAGAAACAAATAAAACATAATTTTTCAAGGTTAGTAAACTGAAATAAAAAAGAAAAGCAAAACTTACTCAAAAGCTGAGAGACATGATCTGGGGTCAACTTAGCAGAGAAGCCACTTGCAGCATGCTTGTAACTATACACCAGAGCCTCCTTAGCAGCATCCTCACTTTTTGAAAACCCCATCAAAATTCAAACAAACCCCATTAAACCCATAAATTCATGGTACTATGCAGTCAATTCCATTCCAATCAATTCCATAACAGCCCGCACAGACTGAGTCTATATTGAATATTGAGTTCCACCTCAAAATGTCCACTAGCCTAAGCCCTTAAACGTTGATTATTGTTTTCATATGGTTTATGGTGACTCGTTTGATTGTACCAATCTTGAAATTCCACTACATGTTTGAACTTTACAATTGAATTGCTAATTTAAGCTTTTTGGGTTCTCTTACCCTACTAAGTTTGGGGTTTCACGTGAAAAATTCAACCTTTATCTCAAGCAAATGTTGATTATCGTTTTCATACAGGATTTTAACCTCAAATGTCAGTGATAAACGTTGAGGGGACTAAGCCCTAATTCCAATTAAGCAAGACAATCAGTGATTGAAGTGCATATTTTCACAAACAATGTAAATAATTTCCCAGAATTAATTACTTTCAATTTGAATAAAGAAATGAAATAAATAAATAAATAAATGATGAACCTGCCAAGAACAGAGGTGAGGGTCTTGATATGGTAGGCTTCTGGCTCTTCATCTTCGGGTCTTTCGGTGTAGACTATGTGAACTTTTGCTTCAGATGATGACGAATCGGCAGCCATTTTTGGGGTTTGCCTGATTCCTTATACTTTTTTATGTATAATGATGGGATTTTTCGATTATAGGGTAATGCTGATTGTTGGGTTTATACCAAATGCAGAGGTTTTGACATGACAACATAGAATTCATCGAAAATTCTTGTTTTGTTTCTGAGGAATTTGCATGCTAGGTTCTCAAGCTTTAGCTCAAGCTGCATTTCTCTCTTCAGCCTTCTATATTCTGACATTTACATTTTTAAACTTCTATTGATTAAGCAAATTTGTCCTTAATGAACCGTTCAAATAAATAGTACATTATTTTTGTCAAATTTGACATGCTTAATCATATTACAATGATTTGATTCTTTTTGCAATTTTTTGTACAATCCTATTATTTACATCAGTGTCAGTTGTTAACTTAAACTTGCAATTCATACCTTATTATGACCAACAATTAATCATAGAATAGAATAACATATACATTCGTGGAAATTTCACAAATTCATAAGATAAGTTGCATGAACCTCGCCAGTGGCTGCCTATACTCCCTCCATATGGGAAAGCTTGGTGTCAATAGTTGCAAGCCAGCAAATAATATTCATTGAAAGAACTATCCATACAACGAAAACACACCGCGAGAAAAGATTAACATGCAAAACTATAAGACCAAGTATGGTATATAGAACTCGACAAAACAATATTAAGAAACAAAAATCTTATCATTTATGTTGTCTAGTTCTGTCTAACATTGTGTACCATTCATGTTCTAGCAAGAAACAATGATATGTAGATGATTGAGAAATTCAAATTACTAATCTCAATAAAGTTGCTTCAATTCTTTTCCGAATTGTATACTACAAGACCTGATGTAGTGTATAATAGAATTTTCCCATCTGGTAGTATGTAAAATGGTGTCATATAGATCTATTTCAAGGGATCATCAGTGAAAGAAAAGAAATGCTATTTGTATTGGCTGTTTTAACAGATGGGATTAGAGAATACTGGGTTGGCAAGATTTCACACCATTTTAGACAAAAAAAAAATAATAATAAATAATAATAATTAAACAGTCATGAAATTTTGTCAACTCAGCACCTATGATCTAATCTATTAAAAAATTTTGTATAAGCATTAGGCAAGTGATGACAAACATTAACATTTAACAGTACTCACTCCTCTTATAATAATTTGTCCTTAGATTATTTAAACATATATCCCTACTATCCCAGGTACAGATAGGAATTGGACAATTCCTTTAATTTTCTATCACATCACATCTTGTTTAAAAATTAGGAGCTAGCAAATCCATTGATCTTCTAACATAGTAAGGTTATCTTCTTTCGATGGGGACGGACCAACGATTTAAATATCCACATGAATCAACGAGACTGAATTTGTGTTCTTTGTTGTGAAGCATCATCTTTTAACCTCTGATGTGTCTTAGAGCAAAATAGGCCAACAATCTATACCCTACAAACATAATAAACAATGCACCAACACTGATCAGGGGATGAATTTGCATTCTTATGTCTTCATCAACAAATTTGCAGCTTGATCTATAGTAATCACTGGAGGTGCAGTTGAGCAATGAAGAAATTCTGTTTCCTTCTCCGTATTGGACATGGATGAGAAGTCTATAGCTATAAAATGTCGTTGAAACGTATTTAATCCATGACATTAAGTGTGGAACTTTATGCACATAGTACCCTCCTGTCAAAATAAATGCTAGCATTGTAACTGTCACAACTGTGGAAGCTTGCTTTGCATCCATGATCAACGCCCCGAGCATGAGGCCAAGCCCTTGTGACGCAAGCACGTAACTGAGCACGACCATTAGTGTCAAGAGAAAGTGAGGAAGTTCGGGTTTTAAGCCAGTCATCCAATAAACTATGGTGAGGAATAAGGTTGGAAGGACCAACTCCATAGGTAGATCCCCGGTGATTCGTGCCATGAAATAGGATGAAAGCGTGTACATACCCGAAGCCCTTTCCTTTACGAAAATAGCGCGTTCTTGAGGGAAGGCGAAAACAGCGCTGGAAGATGGGAAAACACCCCAGAAGATTGAAATAAAGAATAGAAGTCCAAGATTGTCTTGAATATCGTGATAATCTGAGTGCCACCACATAAAGCCCGCCAATAATGAAGCTGCAATTACTTGGAAAACCCTCAAGTAATTAAACATTTCGTGCTTTCTCTCCTTGAGATTTCTTTGTAGAAGAATGCTGAACTGACTGAACCAAATGGAAAAATTACTGCAATATTTTATTGTGAGATTCCCATTGATAATCCCTTTTGGTGCCACAATTGGGGCATCCAAGCATTCTCGTTTCACCTTTGGAGCCAATAAACTATTGTACGAGGATAAAAGGGTTTGCCTCACATCAGGCTTCTCCTTCTCATCCAGGCACACCCCTGCATTTGAAAAGGAAAATTAATTAAATGCCAGACAAATATTCATCTAACAAGGAGTTACAGTCAAACTTCTTGATGAGGCGATTCAACCAAGACGATATAAGATGAGCAAGTATCGTCCCTGTTGGTTTTCGGGTCTATGAAAATCACTTTCTCTCAGATACACGTTATTCTATGGATAACAAAGGACAATTAATTATTCCTCTATATAATTATAAAGTAAGACAATTATTCAACAATTGTTGGTGGTGAGGTGAGAGTCCAATGTATATAATGCAGCTGCTAATGGTTCAGGGCTACTGTGGCACCATCGACACTTCCTTTAAATATTTTCAACGTCAATGTTCATTTTTTGGAGGTAATGTATACCATAACCTTAATTTTGCTATCTAATTATTACCTTTTCCAATTGAGAGTAGAGAGTTTCATTATTGAACAGGATCCTTATCTACATTTGGTTAAAACTCACGATATCGGACATGGGGACAGTTAATAGCATTCATATTCCTAGGTCCAAATTGCTTATGCAAAGAAGGTAGAAGTTTGCCAGTATCTATAAATATTTTCTCCCTTTCCTCGATATGTGTGCGCATTTCCAACATAACTCGATTTAAGGTTTGACAATGCACGGCCCTTTCTTTTAATCCATCTAAAATTATTTAGAACCAATGCCATATGCCAAGCATATAGACTTTGACTTTGATTGTTACTTTTAAATACATAACTCACTTTAATTCGAGACTCTATAGTCAAGCCCACGGCACAGCTATATAGACTGACAGGACCATAGCATGGCCCTTTTGGGTCAGGCTATGCTTCTCACGTGTTAGTTTGTCCAATGTATTTCGGCACTTCTATGGGATTATATGTGTTTTAACTAAAGTAAGTAGAAAGGGGTTTGTATAGCCAGCTTGGATATTTACATCTATAATAGTGAATAAGTGTTGATATACCATCACTATCTTTTAGGTAGATGCTATCCTACGCAAGCAAATATTTCCACAATACCATATGAAAAAACCTTCCTGCACAAGCACTTTTACATAGGCCTATCACATGGGGGTGGACTCCACATGTGTGCACCTATACAGGCCTTGTGCAAAGGCGCCTATGCAGGTAGCACAACTCATACCATATTATGCCCAACAACAAATTCTATTCTAGTTTGGTCCAATAATCTTATTAAATTTACAGCACTCAACAAATAAATAAAAGAATCTTTAAAAATATTCTCCACCAAACATTTTATATATCAAATTAGGTTTTTGACTTGTCATACAAATCTTTTCATGATACACCTCAATTATATATATCCAACCTTCTATTCTCTTCGGACACACAATTAGCAAGTGCTCTTATACAATATGTATATGTATCAATATTCACAAGTAACATATTGTTACTTATTTCATAAATACATTTAGACCCGTGAATTGCGCATAGACGTGATATCAAATTGAGCAAAATTGAAATGTCAATACTTAAGATGCTATTCTCAAGGAGGACCATAACATCTTGTCATTTTCACCATCATATATACACACAAAAAGAAAAAAGAAAAAAAAACTCAATTAATTTTAGCATCTCCATCGTACCAAAGTTGGTTATCACGTGTCTTTCAGTTCACATTAAAGTTGGCAAGTATACATGCCTTTCAAGAGACTTTTACATGCATGACTTTTTATAATATCTTGATGTTGTGGGTAGAAATAGGTTGAAATTATGGGGACCATCTTAATCTTCTCACAGATAAATTTAATTTCCTATTAGAATTGGGGTGTGCTTCGGTCCCTTTCCCATGAAGTGACCCTGTTGGAAAATAGCGCAAGATACTTATATATGACTTGTTAGTCGCCTTACAATTCCTAGTTTCCAACCTAATTTGTATTCAAAAGAGGATTTTTCTTCAAATTAAGAATTCACGACCTTAAATCACTAAAATCAAGGACAATATTTTATTGAAAAATAAAAATTACCTTGATAATAAATTTTGGAAGGTTGAGATCATAAAATATGTTGTGAGCCGGCCCACGAGGAAATTAAGTGAAAAGCAAAGAAAAAAAATCTTTAAAATTAAAAGCTGAGAAACAATTTTGTAGTGAATTATCTTTACGTGGGATCCACTACTATTTTCCTCAGTTTTCGTATTTATAAACCATATATAAATTTGCCAACCGGAGACTAAAATTCTACCTTTCCATCTCGTCAATCTATAAAGACTTTGTCGCTACCCACTGCTGCCCTCACTTACTAAAAAAAGTGTTGAACCCCAACCTTAAGGGTCCTCACCGTCCCGTCCTTAGAGTTTCGTGAGAGAGGTAAATCGCAGGATATGCCCCAACAGGTCAGGGAACAAAATCTACCTGTACACTATTGCCTATAAGAAGTCCAATTTCATGTCTCAGAAATCGAACTCACACACTGCGACTGCCAACAAGGCGTGAGATAACCCCACTCCTGTCATTTGCACTATTGGGCTATGCCCCGGGACACCACTTATTAATTAGCCTCCACTCCATGGTCTCATAGTCTACAGCACACCCTTCATTATTCATTTTTTCTTAAATAAATTGATGAGACGTGAATATTTATAGACACTCACATAAAACACAATATGTGAAGTAGTACAAACTTCCAAGCTTGTATCATATGCACGCGAATTCATGGGGTTCTAAACATACATGATGAATGATATTGTTACTATGTCACCTATTACCACATCAAGTCTTCAACCCTAGAGTATTATCATCTTGTTTAGTAAGGCTTATTAAGGTTGATTGTACTAGTACTCGATAATACTAAGAAATAAAATTAAAATATTTTATATTATAATGTTTAACTCAATGTATGGCACTAGTCCAAATGTGCACTAAAATAAGATAGAAAATAAAAGAATGCATGCAGTGGCGGAATATAATAGAGCGGCGGGGTTTAAGGATTTATATAAAAAAATTTAATATATAAATAATGTATGTATATTTTACAATGGCCGCTCAATAATCCTAGCTCCGCCACTGATTATCCTTGCAACATGCGTGTGTTAGGATGCGAAAGACAAATAGACAGGATGACTAACCATTAGCGAGATCAAGCATGAACTCAGCAGGATTCATGGCAAAAGATTGCGAAAACCCGATAGACTCAAAATAACTCATGGTCTCATTGCCCTTTCCAAAATATATGCATTTCCCCTCAGACAACACTAGCACCGAGTCAAACATCTGGTAAACTCGGCTCGATGGCTGGTGTACCGACGTCACCACCGTCTTCCCCTTTTTCGCCAGCGCTGCCAACGTAACCACCAGCCTGAACGCCGCTGTGGAGTCCAGACCTGATGTTGGCTCGTCGAGAATCAGTAAACTTGGGTTTATCAGCATTTCGTGTCCTATACTTACCCTCTTTCTCTCACCACCAGAAATCCCACGTAAAAAGCTGTTCCCTATCACTGTATTTTCACATTTCGCTAAACCCAGTTCAGAAATCACTGATTCGGTTATAGAAATTTTTTTCTTCTTTGATAACGAATTGGGCAGTCTTAGAAGTGAGCAGAAAATCAGTGTTTCTCGGACTGTTAAATGTGGGTAGAGAACATCATCTTGGGGTACAAAACCAGTTTTCTCCAGAATTGGCTTTGTGAATTTCTGGTTGTTACAGAGTATTGTTCCGGTGAGACCGTGGCCGTGGTGGAGCCGGCCTGCCAGAGCATTCAAGAGTGTCGATTTGCCGCTGCCGGACGGACCGAGGATGGCTAAAATTTGCCCCGGCACCACCTTACCTGTAATTCCATTCAAAATAGTCCGTTCCCGAATCATTTCCGCAGGATTTTCCACATCGGACGATGAAGCCGGCCCACTGGAAAATATCCTCTTTATGCTTCTGCCTTTTGGTTTTTTGCTTTCCACCTTTACTCTATAGCAAACATCCACAAACTGTATATACAGTAGAAAGAACAAAATCAATAATTATAAACTGATACCACCATTTTATCAGATCTTTTTCAACAAAATGTGAGGAGACAAGCCTATCACGAGTACATACATGATTGTTCTACTGAATTATATCTATAATCCAATTATAGATATATATGTACCTTGAGTGTGATTGGATAAAGAGAAGACATAATGGAAGGGAGGTTATTGCATTCTCCATTAACGGAAGTTTCTGCTGCAGAATCACCAGACGCCGCCATTGTTTGGTTTAACGAGAGAGAGAGAGAGAGAAGGATCCCACAACAGCCAGCCCACAAAGTACTTATTAGTTAATCGAGGGCTGGTAAATAACAAAATTCTAGTCAATGTTGAGGTCGATCCCAATGGTTGCCACGTCAAACTGAAACTGCCACTGTACATGTGCTACATAGCATTAAACCCACAAAACCAAATAATCCTGTCTGCCTTTAGTAAATTTTGGTGCTTCCTTTGTGGTGAAGTGAGATGGGAACAATGATGGCAATGGATGTCATCTGATCGGTTCGATTCAGGACGATTCAATTTAAATTGACTTGATCCAATAAGAGTCGAGGTCAAGCATGGACTCTCTTTTTGGTTAACGAGTCAAACATGCTACATGGAAACATGAGCCGAGCCTATTTTGTAAGAAATGTCGAGACAAGGTTCAAATTAGCAGTTCATTGAGGAATATCCTTAATCGACTTGGAGAACCATTTGAATATGAAGGTGGGCATGTTAGTAAGGGATGCTTGAATTTCAATAAACACTATTGTACATAGATTTTGAACTTGATTTTAAAAAAAGTGACTGCACCATTTTGCATCAATTTTTATTAGAAGTGAAGGTCTCGTGCTTGATTATCCTAAAGGTTAAAAGATTAATTAGTAGAGGAATTGAGTATTTTATTCAATTGACGAATATGGAGAAAACAAATACAATAATTGTGACTACACAATTATTCTATATTTCAATAGTACAAAACTTGTGAAAATAGTCTAGTATTATAGGGGTGCATGCCAAACCCTAGAAATACCACAAAAATGAAAACAAGATAAAAAAATAATATGGAATAAAGGAAACGATATTTTTTCCCGATCAAAACGTGTGGAATAAATGAAATAATATTTTTCCAATAAAAGTACATGTAATAAAAGGAAACAATATTTTTCCTTCAATGTGACTATTAAAGGAAACCATGAATAAAGAGACGTTCTCCATCTCTGGCCTTAGATCCAATCAGATCATTCATCTTCTCTTTTGAAAATAACGCATCATACACATATTCAATGGTGAGAGTATTATGACTATACAAGACCATGTCTCTAAACGAAGCGGGTGGCGAACACAAAAGTGTTAAAGCCAAATCTTCTTCATTATATTTTACCTTTAAAGTTTCCAAATCTGTAACAATCTCTATAAATACAGCCAGATGATCTTCAAAAGATCTGCCTTCTACCCTGTGATGAGAATACAATATCAGCTTCAGATGCAATTTGCTTGTTAGATTTTTAGTCATACACAATTGCTTCAACTTCAACCACAATGCAGCTGTTGTTTTCTCCTTCAAAACGTCTTGAAAAATATTGTTAAAGAGATAATATGAATCTATGACAGCAACTTTCAATACGTCCATTATTTCTCCTCCATCATCCAAGTTGTCGGCATTTTTCGAATCCCCACAACGCATCATTTAATCTACTGCACGAGCACAACTTGCATCTTCATTTGCTACAAGAAGAATCTTATATTACGATTCAAGAGCGGAGTTTCATACTTCATGGCTGCCATTAATAACAGAAACCCTCGAATAAATCACAATCAATAGCTCTTGTTCTTGCGAAACCCACAAGTGTACGGAATCGTCGATAAGTAATAGATTTAGTGAGTTGAAAATATCGTCCCACAGAGAATAAGTTCAATTCAAGTTTACTAATTATGTATAGAATTCGAATTATGTAAAGCAAAAGAGAGGTTATGATTATTCTTAATTAATATAAGAAAGCAATAAAAGTTTAATTTTTGTCAAATTTTGGATGATTGCATTGGATTTTGAATCCGCATATTACTATCTATTTCAATTCTTGATTTGTAATCTAATTCTGTTCATGCATTCATGACAATAGATAAAGCTAATGTATTTAACTTTTTATTTCAAGACAAATTAATTCTATCCTAATCACGATCCCAATTTATTCCTAATCTAAATTCGAATGATTAGAATGTATTAAATTTTAGATTATCTATATGATTGCACGTGATAAATGTTATTCCTAACATCTATTGCACATAGTTAATTTTACCCTGTTCTAAATTTTTTGTGAGTCTCTCAACATTACAACAAGCAACTAATATTCTAATTTGTGACCAATCAATTAAATAATTTAATGGGTATGCAAAATTAATCAAGAAATGTGATAATCAAACTAAACTATAAGTCTTGAATTAGAAATAAATAACAAACAGGGTTCATCTTCATCCAATACAAAGCAAATCTATCCTAATAAATTGATATATAAATTACAAGAAGAATAATGAAAAAATATCACCTAGATCATGAAGAATACAAAGATGTTGATATTAAGTCCAAAGTTGAATTTTTTCAATTTCTTAATGTAATCGGTCTTCAATTCTTACTAGGAGCTTGATTTCCTCTCTTAAAAGTAATGAATTGGTCTATTTGTTCTTGATGAATTTGATGATACTATTGTATACGAAGAGGGCAAGAGAGGATATTTTCTTTGTGTGTAACCTTTAGTCTGTATGTATAAGAGTCGAAAAATATATCAAAATCGCGTCCAATTTGAATTTCAAAAGAGTTTGAATTACAAAAGGAAACTGCTGATTTATTAGCGGAAAAGCCCATGCACGCACACAAGCATAACCACTGCACATGTGCTATTGATCCAAATGACTCTCTGGTCAAAATTTTTTCTTACGCGTGTGCCAGAATTGTCCTCTATGCGCACCAATTTGCGCAGTGTCATCACTGAACAACTTTTGGTATTTTGATGATAACTTTCTCTCTCGATATTAGATTAAGATGATTCAAAGTGTATCGAAAAGCTAACTCAGAGAACTATAATTATTCTAGAGGTACAATTTTCCAATTTGAACGTTGCAATCCCAAAAATGGATCTCAAGTTGAGGCTAAAAATTCGGCACCTAACTTTTTCGACTGATAATTGATTTGTGGAAATACTTTAACTCTATTTCACTCGTTTGACCCTCCAAATTGCATCCAATCAATCATATGTGATCTTGAATCATCATTTTGTTGTCCGAATGAACTATTGAATATTTACACTTTGATCCCCAAACTTTGAATTTCTTTCCTTTTTGCTCCTTTTTTCATTCCTTTCTTTCAATTCCTCCAATTTGCATTAAGTTCAACTAACAAACATAATTAACATATAATTAAGTTATAACTCATTTAAATCACTAACAAATACTCCAATTTACTGTTATAAATAAGTGTACAAAATACACTTATCAGGTCTAATACCACTTATTGGGAAATATAATAACTGGAGGTGATATATATGATACGATATGAAGTATATGATCGTAAACAAATAATAAGATGAAAGGCAAAACATTAATTAGCAAAGGAAACGGAGTTTTTATTCAATTTTTGAATATAGAGAAAGCAAATACAATAACCGTGCCTGCACAATTATTCTTTATTTGAGTAATATAAAACTTGTGAAAAGAGTACATGCCAAACCTTAAAAATATCACAAAAATGGAAACGAGATCAAAAAAATATAAAATAAAAGAAACAATATTTTTTTCAATAAAAAGGCCTGGAATAAAGGAAATAATATTTTTCCAATAAAAGCATGTGTAATAAAGGAAATAATATTTTTCCAATAAAAGCATGTGTAATAAAGGAAACAATATCCCCCCTCTCCCTCTCCCTCTCCCTCTCCCTCTCCCATTCCCAAATAAATAAATTCAACATATTTGATTCAAAAAATTCAATAGACATCACTTGAACATGAGAGTGGACTTATATGATAAGGAATTCTCAAAGTAAACTCAAATAAATATTGCTTGAGATGTACATCCAACTTGCTTTTGATAAAGAGTTTGATTGTGTCTCCAAATAATTTCTTTTCGATCTCTTACATAAGAAAGATGAAATAAAAGTGGAAACAAGAAATGAAAGCACCGATAGAACCAAGTCCAACATCGATTCCTCCATTGAAAATTGATCATTTATAGATATAGAAACATATAGCAAGATACACTACAAATACATAGCTCTTGTAGTGGATAATGAATATGATCGTGTCGGGTTGGGAGAAGTGTGAAAAATTAAAAAGGGTTCTCGGAATATACTCTTTTTTCTTCTGGAAGAAGACATGTCACTTGTTGATGCTGTCGTTTTTTTCTTCGTTTCCTTCCCTTCTACATCAGTCGTGTTAGTTTTCTGCTAAACCGCAGGTGGAAGACTAACAGAGTTAGTTAAACGAAATAATTTATAAAGTATAGTGATCAATTTGAAACAAAATAATGTAAATCTATTTTCTAGTTTGGCTGAGCTTGAAGTGCCCACATTAAGCTACTTTAAGCCTCCCATTCCACTTGGAGAAAATTAGACTTGGTCCATCTGATAATAGAGAATATATGCCCACGGTATATGGGACTGAATAGAATATAATTTTTATCAATAATCCAAAATCTATAATACATGTTTAACTCTTACGTCACCCTTGGAAATCACTGAAATAAAATAATTGCGCAGATAAAGATAAGGAGACTGAATTAATTGGTCAACGAGTTGGATTTACTAGGTTCCCTAAAAATGGACTCTATGACGAGTTTGGTCAATGAGCGCCTCCCCTACATAATAGGTTGAACCCCAACCTTGAGGATTCCCACCACTCGACTCTTGGAATATCGTGAGGAAGATAAATCGCGAAATGTACCTCATCAGATCAAGAATAAGAGCTTGCCCGGTATAAGGCAATGAGCCTTGACAACTTGCAAGGTTAGCAACACAAAGAGGCAATGAATCTTAAAAATTGGCTAAGACAGTTGTAACTTATCCAAAATTTGTTAAGGCAAATGTCAAACAAAAAGGCCTTAAAAGTGTAAGTGGAACCAACGTAACAAAAGCACTAAGAGCTTGACGCCGCTGCAAATCTCATTAAAATAAAAAAATAAAAAAAATAAAAAAATATTAAGGCCGATGAAAGGGTTGTTTTCTTGTTAACATCTCGGCAAATAAAAATTCTCAAAATGTAGAGATGCTTATGATGATAGAATTATTCCATTGCCACTTTCCCTAGCCTTTTATTTTATATGGTAACATTTGTAATTTTTGTCCTAATTAATTTCAGGAATACGACAACGTTCATTACACGTTGTCATTAAAGTTTTAGCAAAGTTCACTGTGTATTGCTATTGATGT